CAGCAGCAGCAGCAGCAGCAGTACCACTACCACTAACACTACCAACACACCCCACTGCTAAAAGTACAAAAACAACAACAACAACAACAACAACAACAACAACAACAACAACAACAACAAATCAGCAACAACAACAGCAACAGTTCAACATCAACACTGATCTAGTTACCCGCAGCGTCACGACAGCGTCCCCTTTTTCCCGCCTGGTCAAGCTAACGTTGAGGTCAGACACTGGGGTCTTGACCACTGGCGGCTTGTTGTTGACCGGCCATACAGTCACAGTCAGGGTTGTGCTGGACCTCTGGGGAATCACAACACAATAGGAGTCAGGACATTTGTGAGGCAGCGTGGTGGAATCAAGCTCTCGTCAAAATAATCAAAGTGAAGAAACTTGCATTTTTCCACAGGTTTTTGAATTTTCACCAAATTTTTGTTTTTTTGCCTCAACACCTTTCATGCCCATAAAAGAACTCATTTCTGTGTGGATTTTTCTGAAAAACGTTAATTAAAGGCACTAAAAAATGTAAATTTTCAGTTACCACGGACTCTAAAGCTAAGGAAATAACTAATCTTTGGAAGCCATTTTCTCTCATTTTACCTCTGAAAACAGGTGACCCCCACCTCCTTCATTCGCAAATATCTCGACTTGTATTCAAGATAAATGGATATTTTTTTCATCTAAATAAAAACAACTGAACAAGCGTTAAGAGGATACCAATAACTCTACATGCTCAAAAATTGACGAGAGCCTGATTCCACCACGCTGCCTCACATTTGTGTGCGTCATCGTGGTGAAGTCAGGCGCTCGTTAAAATAAATGAAATCAAAGAAACTGGCAATTGTCTTAACCTTGGCCAATTTTAGTTGAATTATCTTTTTTGGCCTCAACACATTTAATGTCCATTTAAAAACACAATTTATGACCTTATGCCGTTGCGAGCGCCGTAAAACTTCTACAAAAAAAACCCCAATTATGAGGGGATTTTACTGAAAAACGTTGACCGATGACTCAAAAATGTAATTTGTAGTTTTCAAGCACACTTGAGCTTTGGAGGTCACAAACTTTGGCAGCCATTTTCGCGCTATGCTAATTTTTCCTTTAAAAGTGGGCAACCCCTACTTCCCTCAATCGCAAATATCTCAACTTCTGCTCAAGGTAGAAGGGTACTTTTCCCGTCAAAAGCAAGACAAATAAACAAGCTTAAAGATGATACCAATAACTGCACATACTCAAAACTTTCACGAGCGCCTGATTCCACCACGTCGTGGCACATTTGAAAAAACATGAGAAACTCCTAAGAGTAGCCACCTTAAAGCCCAACAAGGGGCTCTCGTGGCCAAGAGGTTAAGGTGTTGGCCTCTCATTCAAAAGGTCCCGGGTTCGAATCCGGGTAACGACCGAAAATTTTTCTTCTCTAAATTTGTCACCTTTCACCTCATTTCCTGCTCTCTAACAATGTTCTGTCGTCTGCTTTCGTCTCCTCTTTTTGCCCCAACCCACTCACCTCCTTTGCCCCTTCCTCTGGGCTCCTGATTCTTTCTGCAGCCTTTCTACTGCTACTCCTTCACTTCTTCTTTCTGCTGTCTTTCAACCACACCCCTGATCTTCTGGTAGGAAAGATCTACACCTAGCCTTCTCGGACAAGGGCGAAAAATCTCGGAGGGCCCGAGTGCAAGTTGCGTACGTTAAAGATCCCTCGGTGGTCTAAAATCGATAAGAGTAGGCTTCGGCCGCCACCCGGGCAAAATTCAAAATTTCCTACCAACTGAAAATAATAGGTGTGTCCCGCGCGCTCATATGACCGTATGCAGTTGCGAGCGCCGTAAAACACTTTACAAAAACAAAGAAACAAACAAAGCCCAACAGGCTGAGTGGAAGAGCTTTGTTTCCCTTTGTCTTAATATTTTGAATTCCCTCTCAAACGAGATGGTCTCACAATGTGCATTTTCTGTTCTTTGATTCGTCACTTAATTTGATTTTAAATTCTGCTTAGTACAGCGCTATGAACCTTCTGAGATTAGGTTCTATCATCATCATCATCATCATCATCATCATCATCATCATCATCATCATCATCATCCAGAGCCAGATGTGCGACAGACATCGGCGATCATGGTGTTCCATTCATTCCTTTGCTCGGACGCTCTAAAAAAAAGAAACGTTTCCCTGATCTTTCCCTGTTACCCATTTGTTCAGGTTCCCTAAGTATGTTGTTCTGGGTCTATAGGTTCTATACAGATTCCAATTAGTAATGTTAAACATAGATAATACTGCATTCAAAATAAATAAATCATTTTCCGTACCACCTCGGATTTTTTATTACGATTTTTCACGTCTTTTGCCTTAATTTTTTTCAATCATTATATCGTTCGCTTGATCTCGTCGTGCTGTTATACTCCTTCATTATTATTGTCCATCCCAATCTCAGGCATTGCATATAAAAAAATAAATATGTGAGGCAGCGTGGTGGAATCAGGCTCTCGTCAGTTTTTGGATTTGTAGAGTTATTGGTATCATCTTAAAGCTTGTCCACTTGTCTTTATTAGAAAGAAAAAAAATACCCATTTATCTTGAATGCAAGTCGAGATAATTGCAAAAGAAGGAGGTGGGGGGTCACCTGTTTTCAGAGGTAACATTTGTGAGAAAATAGCCGCCAAGGATAATTATTTCCTTAAGGTAAGAGTCCGTGGTAACTGAAAATTTACATTTTTGTGCCTTAAATCAACGCTTTTCAGAAAAATCCACACAGAAACGAGTTCTTAAATGCGCATGAAAGGTGTTGAGCCAAAAAAACAAAAATTTGATAAAAATTCACAAACCTGCGGAAAAAATGCAAGTTTCTTCACTTTGACTATTTTGACAAGAGCCTGATTCCACCACGCTGCCTCACAAATGTCTTCAAGTTTTATAGCATGCTTGCTCGATATTCTTCTAATGTCTCTCTATCCATAATATTCCTTTCTGATTTTCATTTTTCCTTAAATTCCTTACATTTTTAGTTCAAGGAAATGCATTTT